ACAGTGAAAATTGGGCGAAAATCGAAAAACGGACATGCTACATTTATTCCAAATGATTTGAACCCAAAGGTAAGCCATTACTAGTACTTGGCGTAGATGTGGTCTAGGGGGTCGAGTTCCCGGATTACTCCCATCAGGACCAATCAAGCTATACGGTTTTTCAAGATGGACTGACCGGCGCTCGAATTGTTGCCAAAGGAAGAACTACCGGTATACTGGTTCCCTCCACAACTTTGTATAAACAGAGCGCACTTTAAAGCGCTCCTGCCAATATAAAAAAAGTTGGATGCATGGCACATCCGAAAAAACTCGTATTTGACAGCAAGAAAACCCCTCTGGGAATATCCCGCCGAAGATCATCTGATTCGGGAAACAATTAGCATTTATCTTGGGGACGCGGATTTCCAAGAACTGGGAGTTCACAACAAATTGCTTCTAGAAATCAATATGCATTTTTTTGCTCAGAAAGACTTTGCAGCATTTCCCTCGCGGCATTTCTTTGAAGACACTTCAGTTGTTCGTGTTCACGAGGCGGGCACACAAATGAGTGGTCAGTTTTTCTGCAGAGGAATTCCGCTGAAAAGCCGAGTTCAGCGGCAATTATCGCCGGAAAAGGACCGATGCACTTCCGCGAAAAGATACTTATTCGATGAAGGCAATTTCTATGGATTCCACGATTCGCCGAGAGCAGTCACTGAGAAGAAAAAAGGAGAAAAAGGTAAGCAAGGCAGAAATGAGAAAGAAGATTGNCGGTCAGAAGTAGGATTAGTGGTGATGTGAGGGGGATTGGATAATGAAAAAGCTCACGAGGCAACGAGAGATGGTAATGAAAAACCGTTGCGAGGGGTCTTCGCAACAAATGAAGTTATGGGACGTCCTAAAGAAATCTCGACGAGAAAGGTTTTTGAACCGTCACGCGACAAATCCCCCGTTCATCTCGTTTTTTCCACAGAAACTCAGTTGAGCTGAGGGCTTGCTAAGCCATAGAAATTTTGCTGAAAATCAGAATGTACTTTTAAAGCTCCGACTTACAAGTATGTAATCCCTCGATGGGCTTCATCACATGGTCAAAAAAAGCTTGTGGTTAAGCTCTACATAATTCTTATTAATACCCGACAATATAATCAATAGGGATACCATTTTATAAACAAACAAGTAGGATCCGATTCCTACCGTAAGACTTTTTGGAAGATACTTGATGGAGCTTTGCTTCTGATAGAGGTGCCGAGATGGCGCAGGCTTTTTTTTAGGGGTCGGACAATCGGAAGAGTCGCTGGGGTGAGAATACCCCTTCAAATCTGAGAAAGTGGACAAAACTGGAGACCATCGTCCTCCTGTACCGTAGCCAGCAAACCATTCCCCAGAGCGGGAATCTCATTATTTTCCTTCTTTTTATCCTTATTACGGTTCCATGAATCCAGTTTCTCCTATCAGAGAAACCAAGTTGGTTCCCCTTACCGAACAGCAATTTGTTTGACCAGCTCCCTGATGGCTCACCCTAGGCGCCAGTGCGGCGTTAATTAGGTGATGTTTTTCGCAGCCACGTACTTGACATGCAGAAAGAAAAAACTGTCAGACAAGCTGTTTCCCCAGCTTCAACGTCATACTCAGTGAACGGCTTAAATACACAAAAACTACCGTAACTTAGTTCAAGTGGATTGTTGGGTGAAGCGTTTGAAGAAGTAAAAAAAGGAAGTGGTAACTGAAAGTACAGAGCTCTCTGCTTTCAACCGGGTTCATCTTTACCAGTTGCAGGCTATATGGTAACAATAAGAACAGTAACCGCTGGGTTAATGACACCTTTCTAGCAGTTGGGGAGCCCTGTCCGAGGAGGACTCGAGGGAGGAATCACACATCGTGCGCCCGAGCTGTGGATGGGGACTTCTCTATCCCTCCTTTAGGCTTGTTTGCATTTCATAATTGACTACGTCCGGAATTTAGGCGTCTCCCGCCTTTCGAAGTGGAGGAATTGAAATTATTGAAGTAGAGATGTCAGCGAGCTAAAGGATCGGAAACGTCGCCCAAGCGTATTGGGTGGGTCCTATTCCCGTTGCATCTTCCCTTATATCGCTTAGGATCCGTCGAGATGTCGATGTGTTTCCCTAAATACAACCTTTTTTCCTTGCTTTTGATTGGGCGAATGCTATTTTTTGGCATCGTCCTAGTTAGGTAGGTAGGAAGGTAGGTAAGAGGCAGGTATAGTTAAGAATATAGGTAGACCATATCAACACCCAGACCAACAATACAAATAAGGGTGTGAGAAGAGCGTGGAACCAAAGAAGGAAGTGGTTGGGTCTAGGCCTGTGAAACACAGTCGCGTCAGGGTCGCTTGAGTAGCCCTGACCTTGTTTCACCGCGATGGCGCATTCTGGCCCCTACCGAAACGAGGCTAGTCAGCTCTCTAGGACTATCCCCTGTATGTGAACATAGGTTCTTCTTCTGGGACAGATATTTCCCAGCAAAAAAACTTCCGCCTAAAGACGTCATGTCTGACACTGACACTTATGAGCTTTGCCCCACATAAACACGTGAAATGGTGCGTGGGAAGGACATGCTGCGGCTGATTAGATGGGCCCATACGGGACTCATCCTGTCGGGTATGTCAACGGCATTGATGAATTTTCCATGTGATATCATGAGATGTGCTATTAAAGTGCAATCCCGTGACAGGGCAGAGTATTTGCCACAACTATCGCCCAGCTCGATTTTATATGGGTAATTCAAGGCCCCTACTTCTGGTCAATGTTGCAAGCACACAGCGGAAGCTCTGAGTGTTAAGAGCTCTCCAGGTAAGTGTCTGCCCCCTGACGATCTCAAGGCAATCCCTCGCCCTCCAATATTTCTCTACCCACTTAATTAAATTCTATTTCCAACCTTTGAGGAATCAAGAAGCTTCCACAAAAAGGAGCACTTCCTTATAATTTACTGAATTCCAAGAACGATAAATAGCCCACAAAAGGAAATTGGTTGGGTAAAAGCTGACCATAAAAGTTCTTTTGGTCGAAGATTCAGCCAATAAATTTAAGCAGAAGCACGCTGTACATCTTTGGGAGCAATTCACTTTGAGCCGGGTGGATCCAAGGTCACTTGAGTGGAGATAGCGACAATTGCCATTGCTCCACCCATGCCTCATGTACCACCTCAAGCCTTTTGCCATGGTCCAGCAGAATCAAACAGACTGTCGAAAGGGTCCACGGTCTAATTGAATCATTTCCAATCTCCCCATTCCCATGATATCATTCTGGAAACCAGCGTTTTGCAAGAACTACCCAGTAAGTGTTCAAAAAGTAATTATGCATGTCGTCATCGCTTTACATATTGCACGCATGAAATA